GCGTGTTTTGACTATGCCCCAAGCTCGTTTGCCTCGTACACGAACATCAATGCGTTCTGTACCCGCGAATGCAAGCACTGGGAAAAAGAAAGTCGGTTGACTGCACGTAAGATCTGCCGTACGTACTCCTGCTGGTATGTGTGTGTGCGAATACTGACATATATTTTTGCGGCGGGGGTGTCGCTACTTGAAGTATCGGCACATACAGGAACTGGAGATTCAGTTGTCAGTGCAGTGTACATGTACGGGTCGCACTAAACAGCGTCAACAAAGCGTCAACACATGACAGAAGCGTCAACACACCGTCAACACATCCAAAACACATTCTGAATTGACAAAAAGGGCATATAATTGTGAAACATACAATAAAAGAGAATTTCCATTGGATTGAGTTTCCATTTCATTGTTAAAAATATCGTATTTTCACGCGAAAAAAATGACCTTTCACTCGCACGGCCGTTGTCCGCCATCTTGACTTCGCACAAAGCTTGGACTACACCATTTCAAGTAGGGGTGTGTAGGTAATGACATTAGCTTGTCATAAACAACAGAGGGATACCAGATCTTTGAGGACTGAGTATCGGAGTGGATCATTATTTTGTGAGTTGTGTTTATGTGTCATTTACTTTATTGAAATGGACATCTTTTGGTATTGGCCGGCCGCGCCCTCTCTGTTGGTTTATTGTACAACGCTATCACCCTTTAGCATAATGGTATGGTCCGCACTGCCACTGAGGCAACATGGCAGCCGATTTCGGAGCGGCACGGAGAGCCAATTTTCTTGAACTGAAAATCGCAATTTTCAGACGTTTAACCTATTAATTTTAAGCCAAAATCTTGTTTCTGTCCATACTGTATGGGTTACATACTGCTTTTGTCAATTTTATGCATTTTGGATGTGTTGACGGTGTGTTGACGCTGTGTTGAACGTACAACTGTACGTGTGTGTACATCGTACAGTGGGGAATCGACGGCGGGACGGCCACGGCCGTACTGCACGCGTGTGATTGATTCAGCGAGATATTAAGACAACTGATTGGGCTGGCATGGCATCGAAATACATTGTCAATTTGTGGAAAAAACAACTGGAATCAAGGATTGTAGTGGTTTTAATAGGCTGATGCATGTTTTTGCAAAAAGGGCACGGCGGCCAAGGTAATTATGGGGCAAGGCAAAACTGGCCGTGAAGACAGGGATTTTTTGTGGGGCACCTCGGCCAGTAAAAAGGCAACGACGGCACTGGCCGTCGTGGCCGTCGTTCAATTCAAATCGTACTACGATTTTATAATAAATCGGCATAAATCGGGGTGCGTGTACAAACAATGGGAGGTACCCCACAAGGAATGCCCACCGACTTGCGGGGTACCGTTTTGGTACCCCACAAGTTTTTCACGAAATAGAAATATGGATTTTACTCAAAAACTAGTTATTTCCTTGGCGGGTTGATTCGTCTAAAAAAAAATTGAGAAAAGGGATATTAAGTCCGAATTTCAGCCCAGGAAAAAAACTATGGTTAAAATAAGAGCATTTCTTATAAGTGTGCGACGTTGCGTGTGTGTGGGGGGGGGGGGGTGGAGGGTGTATATAACCCCCTCCTCCAACGTTTTAGACGGGGATGGGCTGTTGAATCTCCCCTCCACTTGTTTGTAATGACGAAAACAGATAATTAAAAGGTAATTTTCGAACATCCAAACAACCCAAATTATTTACTAGCACTGAAAAATGGAGAAACAAAGTACACACTCTAAGAAAAAAATAGGCAATATTGTGTAAAATCGTACTCTTTATGTCAGTAAAAAGGGAACATGGTCGTTATGGGGGTAAACTTCACACAGCTTCTGTTGTGTCAAATTGTAATTCTGCACTGTGTAACAATTTTACGCAGAAAAGACGTTAACTTTTACTCCAAAAACATGTTTAAAAAAAGTACACCCAAAATGAGTAATATTTTCGTTTACCCATCATGTTGATTAAGCCTTGCCCACTCCATATGGAGTAAAACTTCAAACATATGTTGCGTTACATTTTACTCAAATGTTTCTCAAATTAAGCAAAACAATATTTTCCCCTTTACTGTTTATGTTTTTTCGCTGCTATTTCTAATTTTGCTGAGGGACAAAAATAGACTTTGACGTCGTGGGGATTGGCAGAACTCGTCCCCATTTTTGAAGGAAAGTTGGAACTTCGAGAGTTTTAGCTCACTACATGCAGCCTTCTACAGACTACGTAGACTATTCTAGTGTGGTAAACCTGTGACCATCATGTATTTTTCATGCTAATTACCCATGTTTTCATTTTCATTGCATGCTCTTGTTCATGCTCTCACAGAGTCAGTCTGTCGGTACTGTGCATAATGCAACTCAGGTACCGAAGGCATCCAACACGTACAGCGAAACCGTTGTGTCGTGGAGTCGCGCTGTTATCCTTCTGTTTGCAAAGACTATAGCCAGTTTATTGCCGTAAAGATTTGTTTTCCACACAAAATTTGATTGATGAATGGTATAATAATATACGCGACTCCACAACACATCGGTGTCGCTGTACGTGTACGACGTTGGATGCCTTCGGTACCTGTGTTACATACATATAATGCAAACACACACGCACGCACCCCGACTCTGTGAGAGCATGGACTAATGAGAAAATGAAAACCGTAATTAGCATGAAAAAAAATTGATGATCGCACGTTTACCACATCAAAATAGTCGACATTGTGTAGAAGGCTGCATGTCGTGAGCTAAAACTCTCGTAGTTCAAATTTTCCTTCAAAATGGGGACGAGTTCTGCCAATCCCCACGACGTCAAAAATTCGCGTACGTCCTCCATCTTGAACAATCCGCACGCGTCTACAATGCGATGTATACATGTTTATCTCACACATTTAGTGCGGCACTAAAACTGTGGAGGATGTCAGTTCGTGAAACCCAAAATATCCTGGTTCTGTAAATACGCGCACGTGCAGCGCGCTTGAGTATCAGTTAGTGGTAACGGTGACCGAAGGTTCAATAGTCCGTGTGGCTGCCTCGGGGCTCACTTGTGCCCAGAGGAGTTTCGGACTATAGTTCTCAAACTTATGAGAAAAGGACTCCCAAGTGACTGGTATTCGCAATCAATCCAGGAACCACACACTAAACACAATGAAGCCACTTGACAACATGGTGGTGATTGCTGATAGTAGATTGAGATTGAGATAACAATCTGCAATTTAATAAAGCAGAAAAAACACTAATAAGAAAACTATAATAAATGTACATGGAAAAGTCTAATCTATTAAACATGGCAAGTTGAGTCCAAAAATGTGAAGTCTGATTTGTCAAATCTAAACACTATTTGCAGTTCAATCTGTTTTTTGCTGAATGAAAAATCAACTGTAAAATCTCAGAAAATCCACTGAATTCTGTCTCTAAACTTATTAAAAGTAACTCATAAAATCAAGGAAAATGCTTCTTACCAAAATGGGGTCTTTCAAGGTCCACAAAGAGTGAATAAAGTGATGAAACTTGAAGAACTAAATCGCAATGAGTATGAAAACACTCGTCTCTGAAATCACATGGTCAGTAAATATGGCTGCCTATTGTTTATGTGGCAAGATTATGTGGTACTTGTACCCACACAGGGTCTCTGTATGCACACAGCAAGTGCACAAGGTCACTCTGGTGGTGGGAAGGAGGCTTCTTAATGCAACACATAAGTAGGCTCTTTCACTTTTATGAGGTGAAAGTTAACAGTAGGCTCTTTCACTAAATATGAAGTAATACTCTAAAAATGGAATTCTAAATTTAAACTATAAAAACTGTTCAGAAAATTAATAAACTTAAGACAAACTCACTGCACAGCTGCTGCAGTGACATGGCTCCTCTAACTGCATCTCGCAGTTAACAAACTAAAATCAAACCTGAACTTCAAAGATTAATGTCCATGAAAATGTTCCTTCATCTTGGTGGTCATCTTGTCTCGCACGCACTGCTCCTCAGATGCAGACTAGTGTTGGCTCGTTAAATTGGTATCTACCTACTAATGAGTAACAAGAACAGTTAAAATGTAAAGTTCATAAACTAAATAGATTGTCGTCAGCAGTGGGTCTCTTCTGGCAGGATCTTCAGTTTGGCTCTTCGGTGGGGACTTCTCTGGTCTCTTGAGCTTCAGGCTTCTCTGCGGGTACCAACAGGACAAGCTTGTGTACTGGTCTGTCAAGGAGTGATGGAGAGTGTTGCCGTCTGCCAAGGTTGTCTCGTGTGCCATCGGCCATCAAGAGCTTCACTGACCTGACTCTTCCGTCATTGCTCGGGTAGGTCTCCACTACGCGTCCTAGTGGCCACTGGTTCCTGGTCTGCTCATCTTCCTTTGAGATCACGACATCACCTACTTGTAGATCTCTTACTGGATTGACCCACTTCTTGCGCTCTTGAAGATGGTGCAGAAACTCCTTTCTCCATCTCACCCAAAACTCATTGGTCAAGAACTGGACACGTCTCCACCATTTGCGGGCATAGACTTCTTCCTTCTGGAACTTTCCAGGCGGAGGCAGAACCACCTTGGGTTTCATGGTGAACAGATGATTGGGTGTCAATGGCTCTGGTGCGTCTGATGAGCAGAGATAGTCTGTCGTGAGAGGTCGTGAATTGATGATGCCTTCTACCTCAGTCATGAAGGTCCTGAAACATTCATCATCCAATTGTGTTGTGGTTTTAAGAAGAAGACCCTCTAGTGCACGGCGTACTGTACCTATCTGTCTCTCCCACACGCCTCCCATGTGACTGGCATGCGGTGTGTTCAGCTTGAAGGGAATCCAGTCACAGTTGCTCTCTAACAGGTACTGGTGGACTCTGTCCTGCTCCATCTCAGCTAGCGCCTCTCTCAGCTCACTCCGAGCACCGATGAATGTTGTACCTAGGTCTGAACGCAGTTGACGTACAGGTCCTCTCCTGCTCTGGAATCTTGTAAGGGCATTGATGAAAGAACTTGCCGTTAAGGAATTTGCTGTCTCTAGATGAACACCTCTAGACTTGACTCCTACGCTCTTTCACCAAAAATGGACCGAAGTAGTCCACAGCACAATAGGAAAATGGGAGCGCTGGCTCTAGTCGATCTACGGGTAGGTCAGACATCTTCTGTCGCTGCAGCGATCCACGCAGTTTGCGGCAGGTCACACATCTTGAGATGTAGTTGGACACAGCTGATGAACCACCAATCACCCAGTACCCTCTCTGACGTAGCTCGTTGTGTGTCATTCCTCTGCCCATGTGATTCACCTTCTCATGAATATGGCGAATCAACAACTGGGTGACATGACCTTTGTAAGGGAGAACGGCTGGATGCTTAGCTTCAATTGGAAGATCAGATCTGGCAATACGGCCACCCACTCGGATGATGCCATCGACATCTAGAAAGGGATCTAGCCGGTACAGACAACTCGTCTTCTTCAGGTAGTCATTTCTCACTCTTGCAGTCTTTCCATCGGTGACTTGCCCGATTACACCAAGTTCTTCTAGGGCCTGTAACTCGACACTGAAATGTTCATGCTGAACATTTTTGATGATTTCCATCTCTCCATTCTGTAGTTCTGCCACAGTGATTGCTTGCTTCGCAGGAGTGGAACAAACTTTCCCTTCACAAGGTCTCTTCACTACTCTGTTCCTCAACTTTGTCTTCAACCTCAGACAAAGAGCGACTGCCCTGCAAGCTCTATTCCAGGATGAAAAGCAATCAAGTCGGCTCACTTCGAAGTGATGATGTCGTGCGTTGTTCTCAGCTGTTGTCACGAAAGCTGAGACTCTTTTCACATCTGGGTCTGATTCACTCAGTGGTGCAACTACGGCTGGCTGGGGTTGAAAGGGGCCATCCTTCTGCAAGAAATCTGGACCGGATAACCAGCAGGACTTCTCTATAAGTTCCTTTGCTGTCAGACCACGTGATGCTTCGTCAGCAGGATTTTCTTTGGTGTCTACGTACATCCATCTCTCTGGGTTAGTCAGACTTCTGATTTGCTGCACTCTGTTAGCAACATAGACATGGAATCGTCTTGCTTCATTGTTTATGTATCCCAAAACAATCTTGCTGTCTGTCCAGTAATATTCGTGGAGCATCTCGTAACATAGCTCTCGTCGCAGGAATTCACTCACAGTTGCTGAGACAGTTGCTGCTGCAAGTTCTAGCCGGGGGATGGTGACAAGCTTCAGAGGGGCCACTCTGGACTTACCGACTACAAAGGAACAATGTGCCTTATTGTTCTCATCGACTAGTCGTAGGTAGGAACACTGACCATAACCATCTTGGCTTGCATCGGAAAAATGATGCAATTCAACTGCTGTCACAGTTCCAAAATCCTTGGGCTTAAAACATCGCTGGATTTGGATCTTCTCTAAGCCGAGAACCTCTAAACGCCACTTCTCCCACTCAGGTTGTAGCATCTCTGGCACTGGATTGTCCCAATCAAGTTTGTCGCGACACATCTGCTGCAAAATTCTCTTCCCTCTGAGGGTTACTGGAGCCACAAAGCCATTTGGGTCATAGATCGAACTTACAGTTGAAAGTATGCCTCGTCTTGTGAATGGTCTATCTTTCAACTCAATATGGAACTGAAAGGTGTCACTCTCGACACACCAAGTGACGCCCAGGGCTCTTTCCATTGGTAGTACATCAACCTTCAGATCTAGTTCCCTTGTACCACTGGCTCGCTCTTCTGCAGGGAATTTTTCCAACAGCTCTCTTTTGTTGGAGATGATTTTGTGCAGTTTCAACCCAGCTTTTCCACACAGATTCTGACTGGCTTTGATCAGTAATGATGCTCTTTCCACTGTGGGTAGTGACTTCAGTCCATCGTCTACGTAGAAATCATTACGAATGAAGTGAGCTGCCTCTGCTCCAAACTCATCCTCTCCATCATCTGCTGCTCTCTTCAGCCCGAAGTTGGCACAGCCTGGTGAGCTAGCGGCCCCAAACACGTGAACTTTCATTCTGTATTCGACCACTGGCTTCTCTGGATCACCATTTTCCCACCATAGGAATCGCAGCAGGTCACGGTACTTCTCTTCTACATAGAACTGATGGAACATGCTCTTCACGTCAACCATAAAGGCCACTTCCTCTTTCCTGAATCTACACAGAACACCGAGAAGACCATTAGTCAAGTCAGGACCTTGAAGGAGATGGTCGTTGAGTGAAACGCCTCCATATTTGGCTGAACAGTCGAACACCACTCTTATCTTGTCCGGCTTTTTGGGGTGATAGACTCCGGTGTGCGGCACATAGTTTACCTTTCCCTCATCAACTTCCAGTTGGTCTAGGGGGACTCTCTCTGCACACTTTGGGATTACATCTTTCATGAACTCCCTTTAGTCTTCACGAAACTTCACATTCTTTCGGAATCTGGCGGACAGCTAATTCCATCTCTTGACTGCAAGTTGGCGGTTGTTAGGCAGGGTCGCAGCGTCAGACTTCAGTGGTAGTGGCATTTCGTAGTGGCCATCGGATGCTTTCTTTATTCCTTTTTCCATCACGCTCAGGAACTTCTCGTCTTCTACTGAGTATGGTTTCCCCTGATGATTCTGGACAAAGTCGGACTCCAACACCTTGAGAACTTTCTCTGGGTTTAAGACTTCTTTCACCCTCGTACCATAGACGAAGTGTTGGTAGCTTTGTGGTTCAGCAGCAACCACTTTGTTGCATACTGCAGGTTGGTCATCGGTTTGTCGTGCAGCCTTGCAAACGTTCCCATTACTCCCCAGCCTAGTAGTGACCTCTGGCCGTAGGGGTCATCCTCTCCACCGGCGATGATTTCTCTGGGTCTAACCACTCTTGGGCAATTGCTTCCGATGAGAAGAGAGATGTGCAGGGTTGGATCATAGGGCATGAGTTTATCTGCCAGAGACTTCAGGTGGGGCCAATGATGCACGACAGCAGGTTTCGGTATCTGGGATTTCTTGGCTGGAACGCTGTCCCGCTTGAAGCAGACTGGAAGTTTAACAGTGTGCTCTCTATTGACATCAAGCACTTCAAGCCCGGATATGCGACTGCTGGTGATTTGCACAGTTTGCTCTTGCATTGTGCTGAGTAGTAACTGCGTCTCTGGTCCCTGCAGGTTCATCCTTTCACACAAACTCTTTGACACGAAGCAACTGTTGGATTGTTCGTCCAAGATGGCGTATTCGAGGAACTCCCTCGCTGGATCACTCTCACTACGAACCAACACTGGTATAATCATGGAGTGGTCACCTTCTCCTTCTTGGTCTGGTTGGGAACACACTTGAATACAGTTGGACATTCCCTCATCTCGTTTGGGGTGCACAGCAATGACTTCTTTGGGTGGGGATGAATTGTTTGGGACTTTGTCAGCTGGTTGTTTACTTGCCGCTGCTGACTGGGGGTTACTTGAAGCAGTTTCTTCTGGCCGTCTCTGTTGGAAGTTGCGATGGAGGCAGGTCAAATGGGCACCAGCGCAGATCCGACAAACTGTTTTGTCATTACACTCTCTCACTTGATGATCACTGGAACGTGCACAGCCCTTTCGCTCAGCGAAAGGCTTGCGCAGAAAGCGCTCACAGTCGTCCAGGAGATGACGCTTATTGCAGAAGAGACAACTCTTGTCACTGGACAACTGCACTCTGCTTGTTGGTTCACCTCGACTGGTACTAGTCGCAAAAACACTGGTGTTCTTTTTCGGAGCACTTCCTGCATTTGAACGTTGTTTGTCCTGACTTCGAACCACGCTCTGCAACTCAGGAATGTTTGCCCTGTCTGCTGCAATCTTCACAAGTTTGACAAACTCGCTGAATGGGGGGAAGGAATCCTGACCACGGATCTGTCTCCAATAGTCAATCTTGTCCCGCCACTTTGTCTCAAGGTTGAATGGCAGTTTCTCGACTAGACGAGCATTCTCACTGGCGTAGTCCAGCACTCCAAGGCTTGCTGTGGTTGCTCGTGCTGCCTCTACTTTCCCCAGAAAATCAGAGAAATCTCTCAAGCCTGCTGCATCCCTCGGCGTTAACCTCGGCCACTGACGGAGTTTGCTTATGAAAGCAGTGCTCACTACACTACTGTTTCCGTACCTCTCGTTCAATACTTTTCTTGCCTGCGTGTAGGCCTCTTCAGTGCCGATGAGCATGTAGTGCTCCACTAGGTGCTTTGGTTTCCCCGTCACATATTGATTGAGGTAGTTAAGCTTGGTGTCGGCGTCAAGGGGTTGGCTGTCGATAAGGGAATTGAAGGAGTTCCGCCACAGGGGGTACTGGAGTGGATCACCATTGAATTGGGGGACGGCTATCTTTGGTAGCTGACTAGATGCAACAAGGCGTTTGTTTACATCATGCTGTTGTCTACTGGACTCGGCCAACTGTGTAATGCACTTCTCAAGTGCCGACGACATCGTCATCCGTCCTCCTTCACTTTGGTGATGAGAATGATGTACACTGGACTGTTCATCAGATCTGTTCTGATTGGCTGATGTAACCATGGCAACTGGTTGGAGTGACGCATTGTCCACATATGCGCTTTCACTTTGGGGCACAGATGGACACAATGGAGGGGGGTAATCACTTTGATGCGAGTTGAGGAATCTCTGCATATGTTCATGTTTGTCGGCGGGGATGCCGGACAGCTCTGATGATATTGAACTGTTGTCATCCCGCTCCAGCGATGAGTACACCTGCATCACAGCTCGGGTTTCGGCCAATTTCCTCTCTATCTCAAGTTGTTCTAACTTTTTGTCTCTCTCGTTTTCATTTTCCCACTTTCTTTGCCGCCACCAACTCCAGGAGTTTCAGCTGTTTTTCTTTCTCTGCAAAGTCTAGCTGGACCTGCAGAGCAGCCGCTGTTTTCGCTAGTTCCAGCTTTTCTTCCTGATGCCGTGCATCTGATGATGTAACGGACACGGCATGACTGGCTCGACTGGAACCTTTACTTGACTTGTAAGAAGACACATGACCAGCGTGACTTGCTGCTCGACCGGCGTTACTCTTCTTTGACTTGTCAAACTTATGACTAGAAGACGACTGGATTGGTAACGACATGACGTGGGTTTATTCACTCTGCATGCTCTGGAACGACTGGACTTTGGTTGTGACTTTGATTGTCCTTTGATTGTTATTGTGGCTGCCTCGGGGCTCACTTGTGCCCAGAGGAGTTTCGGACTATAGTTCTCAAACTTATGAGAAAAGGACTCCCAAGTGACTGGTATTCGCAATCAATCCAGGAACCACACACTAAACACAATGAAGCCACTTGACAACACGGTGGTGATTGCTGATAGTAGATTGAGATTGAGATAACAATCTGCAATTTAATAAAGCAGAAAAAACACTAATAAGAAAACTATAATAAATGTACATGGAAAAGTCTAATCTATTAAACATGGCAAGTTGAGTCCAAAAATGTGAAGTCTGATTTGTCAAATCTAAACACTATTTGCAGTTCAATCTGTTTTTTGCTGAATGAAAAATCAACTGTAAAATCTCAGAAAATCCACTGAATTCTGTCTCTAAACTTATTAAAAGTAACTCATAAAATCAAGGAAAATGCTTCTTACCAAAATGGGGTCTTTCAAGGTCCACAAAGAGTGAATAAAGTGATGAAACTTGAAGAACTAAATCGCAATGAGTATGAAAACACTCGTCTCTGAAATCACAGTGTCAGTAAATATGGCTGCCTATTGTTTATGTGGCAAGATTATGTGGTACTTGTACCCACACAGGGTCTCTGTATGCACACAGCAAGTGCACAAGGTCACTCTGGTGGTGGGAAGGAGGCTTCTTAATGCAACACATAAGTAGGCTCTTTCACTTTTATGAGGTGAAAGTTAACAGTAGGCTCTTTCACTAAATATGAAGTAATACTCTAAAAATGGAATTCTAAATTTAAACTATAAAAACTGTTCAGAAAATTAATAAACTTAAGACAAACTCACTGCACAGCTGCTGCAGTGACAGTCCGAATTTAGAATAAGGTTATATGAGCTCCGTGCGATACCAAAGGAGGGCGCCCTTTCACCTTAGCAACGACTCCCATGGGCGGGACATTTCGCTTGTTGACTCGCACCGTTTGAACGCGTTCCTTTTGTATAACGCACGCACAACGGGGGATTTGTTCTATTTACACGCCCGCAGTGGCCGCGCTTCGGCTCAAACGCATTGCAGTCAGGCAATGGCGTCGGTCTGTCACCCCAACTGTACTTCCTTTGCCGGTGAGGGGGTGCTTGTGAACAGAGCGAATAGTCCGGAGGTTTAACAGTTCGAAACGAAAATGAGGCTCAATAGTCAGAAGGTGTATTTTTCCGAACTGACAACAGGGGTGGGAAGTCCAAAAAGACTATAAGGTCCAAGTGTCCGAATCGACAATAAGGTCCGATAGTCAGAATCGACAATAAGGTCTGATAGTCCAAATCAACAATAAGGTCTGATAGTCCAAATCAACAATAAGGTCCAATAGTCCGAATCAACAGTGAGGTCCGATAATCCTAAGTATCAGACTGACGAACTGTATTGTCCATTCGGACTATCGAACCGTATTGTCCATTCGTACTATGGCACCGTATCGTCTATTCTGACCATGAACCTTCGGATTAATTAACCTTATTCTATTTTGTGTCTAATGGGCTCTTCGGACTATCGAACCTTCGGACTATCGACATTCGGACTTTTGAACCTTCTGACTATCGGGCTGTAACCGTGGTTTCACACGACGTTTTCACTCATTTACTTTTTCCTTATTTTTCTCACTGAATAATACAGTAGTCAGTTCGGTCTCAGCCCAAATCTGTACCCTGATGATCGACCTAGACTCACGCGGTTGCGGCCAGCGCATGGGGAGATTTGTCCTGCCGCCGGGCGATCCTTGCACCCGTACAGGGGTAAGACTAGGCGGTCATTACCACCGCTACGCGCCTGAGATGCAGGGACAGGATCCACCGTTGTATATGGACATGCTGCCGGAGGTGACTGCTGAGGTTATCGGCCGTTGGTTCAACTGCACTGAGAACAAACTGGAGGAGTCGACGCTCGGAGTCACTGAAACTGCCCCAGAGTTGACTCCTACAGTTTCCCCCTGGTCGACACCTGTCGCATCGACTCTTACCGATACGATACCAGTTGTCAGCACCACCCCTGAGCCGTCGATGCTGCCAGCAGATTGTCAAAGCATCTTGGATGTTGGTCAGAACACTAGCGGTGTGTATACCATCCGGCACAAACACCAGAATATGCAGGTCTACTGTCGCATGGAGTCGGGGAAAGGATACACGGTGAGGAAAGTTCCTTATTTTCTCAGACGAAAATGCTGTATTTCACAATAACATGCTTGGAAGGTGTTTTGCCAATTTGACCCCCAGATGTGTTTGACATTGAGAAACATATTCTTGTAGCAATTGTGTTTTCAACTTGTACCGAGAACTGTTGTCCTTTGCAAAAAAAAATTCTATAACATTCTATAAGAAAGAATTCTATAGAGCATTCTAAAGAATTTTGTCTATGGAAATTTCAAACAGTTTGTTAAGAAGTCTTCTATAAGGCTTCATAGGGATTTTATAGATATCATATAAAAAAAAATGGGCCATAACTCTATACAGCGGTGTGTAGAATTGTATAGAAATTAGGCCTTTTCTATAGAGCAATGAACAAAATCGTATAGAATTAAGCTAGTTTAATGTAGAATATTGTTCTTTAAAATTCTATAAGAAAGAATTCTATAGAGCATTCTTTAGAATTTTGTCTATAGACATTTCATACAGTTTGTTTAGAAGTCTTCCATAAGGTTTTAAAGGAATTTTATAGATATTCTATAAAAAAAAATGAGCAATAATTCTATACAGTGATGTGTATAATTTTATAGAAATTAGGCCTTTTCGATAGAACTATTTTATAGAACTCTTTAGAATTTTGTAGAGGTTTTCTCAAATTTCTATAAATACATTTTATAGAACTCTATAGAAAATGTGGAGCTTGTTTTGCAACATTGTATAGACTATAGAACTCTATAAAATTCTATAGAAGTTTGGCCCTTTTCTATAAGCTTTGCTGAATAGAATTCTTTAGAAATATTCAATACAATTCTTACAGAAATTTTGACACATTTCTATAGAGAAAAAAGTTTATTGAAAACTTATCAAGATCTCGATTAATTTCAAAATGTGACATTACAATGGTGTTACTCTTTACTAAAAAGAATAATGAAAACAAATATGACACAATTATAGTTGGACAGACATAATATTCTTTTCGTTTTATTTGTTTTTCCTTCTGAAGTTACAAATTTGTGCAAGTAGAGGATGAGCAGATATCTTTCCTGGGCAGTGTATTACAATCAAAGGCACCAATAATGAATACAGTCTGTACACGATGAATGTGGTGAAAAAAATATTCACTTAATGAAAGACACATAAAAATTCATGACGCCTAGCTTATTATGAATAAAACTAAGTAGTAACTTAAAACTTACACGGATAATAATGTTCCTGTGTTAAACAATGGCAGATAAATAAACGACACATTTTTAAAAATGTTGTACAAGTGAAAATGTTTGAAACTTGTAAATGTCTCATAATAACACATGTATAAATTCAGGTGGGAAAAAAACCCAAATTTCATCATGAGAAAGATATTGCAAGAAAGAATTAGATTTGTGGTGAGAACGATCCAGGCCAAGTTTGTAAAACCACACATTGATGGTTTCTGATTGGTCGAGACTCGATCACGTGGCCGGGCATTAACGGTGATAGAAAGACCGTCTTCAAGGAACAAGCGAATAAATGGCCTCTGAACCAGCATTGATCCAGCCCCATGGAAGGCAATGATTGGCCAAATTTACAACAGTCATACGGCAGCTTGTAACAATACAGCACTGCACATGCGCTCAACCACCTTCGCGTGAGACTGACGCGCGCGTACGCAACACAGTTGCTATGGGTGCGCGCACGTAAGGAAGTTTTGAAACGACATCGTACAGTGGCAGTGCACTATACTGAGGATGTTACGACGAAAACGTAGATCTACGATTTATTTTCTGTAAATACTTCGCCCATCGACATATTTACCTTTCCTAAATCAAGCATCTTTGTAATTCTGGACACAAGGAATGTGTAAAATATGAAAACATTGTGTAATTTGTTTGGCTACGGCAGCAGAAGTCATACGCGTACGCAATGAAGACGTTGCAATTGTCCAACGCAGCCTGGGCCCGGCTGTGGTGTATATAACAACGCTTATGGACGAGACAGGGTACCATGCATAAGCTAAAATATGGCCCATGAACATGAACACAAAAAAGTCTGAAAATATCGCCGGAAAAAAGTCACACAATTGGAGCATTTTAACTGTTTATTTCGTTAAAAAGGTATCGGTCCATTAACAGCAGTCACCCCAAATCCCGGTCATTATCACGCAGTAAAGACCGGCTCCTCACACTGTTATTCCCTTATTAATATAACATGTATGTCACCATTCTTTTCTGCAACATAGGTATCAGTTGGTTTTAAATTAAATCTTCTCAACTCACCAGTCACCATCGTTTTCACCCTTATCAAGTCCTCCGTTATTCTTTCTAGCAGAGTAGTACAGCATCGTGAAAATTGTGATCATCCCGAGATGTAGGCACACACAGTAAAATCTCAATCATATGTGTTCGCAAGAACAGCAATTAATTCTTGAAAGTTTCATAGGCATGCACGTTACTGCCATCATTCATGATTTGAGCAATTTGGTCTCAAACTTCATGAATTTATTGTTTCCAGTAAATCCATTCCTAGATCCTTTCGCCATACCTCCATGGTCCAACTGACTGAATTCGAATCTGCCACACAGGCAGTTTCTGGTACTGACTGGTATGCAAGGTTGTGTGTACATGCCACATGCATGGAACTATAAAACATGTTAGGTGAGACTGGGTTATCAGCGGAAGGCAATACAAGTGGTTGTAGCCTGACCTGTCTTAGCTGGTGGTCACTACTCATTCTGTATCCGGGTTGTATGGGGCTGGCCATAGGCATGGGCAGGGGCGTAGCATGGTCATTTTATTGGGGGGGGGGGTATTTCTTTTTGAAAAGGGTCTTGCACATCCGTTGTGGAATGTAGACAGGTTTTTTTTGGCCTCCGTAAAATTAAAAAGCGAGGGGGGGGAGATAGATAGTATCTGTCGATGTGGGCGCTTTTCAAAACGACAATTATGCACACAAAGGGCCAAAATATGGTGTGCTTTTCAGGGCGCTACATGTGCCAAATTCTAAAAAAGGCACCCAAAACGGCAGATGAAGGGCACCAAGTTCTTTTTGAAAAGGGCACTTCATAAAAAAGGGCACTCTTTTCAAATTATTGGGAGGGGAAGCCTGTTAAAAAAGGCCCTTTGAATGGAAAAGGCAGTCTTTACAAAATATTGGCGGGGGGTGGGTGGGTGGGGGGGGGTTAAATACCACCTTACCCCCTCCCCCCCCCCCCCCCCAACTGGCTACGCCTAAGCTGGGGGTTAATTGGATTCGGTATAGCCTTTTGTTTATTCTAACTTCTTATTTATCTGGTGCTTCTAGAAGCACCAGATAAACAGGGAGTTGGGCGAGCTGCATATAGGTAGGGGTATCCTGATTTGATGATTGTATTGCTATATGTATATAAAGTATGATATCTAATTACATATC